CTCTGTGTATTATCAAACCTTTGTTATATTGTTACTTCAAAGTTTCGGCTTTATCTTGTAATATGTAGGATTCCTTTAAATTCCACTTTTCAATTATTGTAGCTGATTTAAACTTATTCCCTACAACATATGTATTTAAACTTTAAGCTACAGAGCTTAAGACTTATGTATTTTAAACTTTAAGAAAGGAGTGAAAATAACCAAAACCAACAATATAGAACCAAAAACAATTAGGTTGGAAATTCGTTCTTTCTCATTGATTCTCAAAGACCATATATGTCAATTTTATAATTTAGAAGCAAAATATCACGTATTCTAATTCCAGTCTTTGGTTCGTCAACAATAACAAACAACATACACTAAGGCACAATTCCTACTGGATAAATTCGTTGACATTAAAGGCCATTGAAAATTGAGTTTTGAAGATGCTAGACCTAGAGCAATCTAGTAGAAGCTCTAATACGTCAATTTAGTAGAAGCTCTAAAATGTCAATGGCTTTAAGGAAAATCTTTATTGTCAGTTTGTCTTTATTTATAGCTATTTTTTGGTTGGGATTTTTGTTTTTCATTTTTTATGCTTTTTTTTGTTGTGTGTATGTGGGTACTTATTCCCAACATGTCCCAATCAGTAAACTCACGAAAACTTTAGATGCAACTACGTGGTTGTTTGGGGGTAGTTAGCTTCTATTGAGGGTGAAATGAAAAGGAATCAATTGAATGGCTTGGACATGTGCACATGGCCAGTTCTGAGATTTTAGGGGCCCTGTGCGAAAAGTAAACACAGGGTCCTTCTCTATCATTAATTGGGGTCTTCCACTACATGAACCAAATCCTCTGAACCCCCCTGCTAACATTAATAGGGGCACACGATTAACTTCTTCAATCTCAAATTGAATGCTGAGGGTCATCAAAACCAAATATAAAAACACAATGAACGGTGAACCCAAGGGTTACACAACTTGAACCGTGTTGTCCTTCTATTGAATCTTGAGTAATCCAATTGATAATAGAGATTACCCAATTAGGCAGAATTAGCAAATCCTGTCTGCAACAAATCAGCAGCCCATCACTGCACAGTTATAGACAAAGCTTCCCGAGTGCTTACTAGCAATCATATTCCACTCTGACGGTCCGTCACTGAAGCAATTCATCAAACGTCTTATACGCAACACCCAAAAACCACTACCAACAAGGCAACAAAACAAATACCTGCATCGACGACATCCCCAAGTCCATCAAGACCCCATCCACGCCCTCATTCAGCAGATCCTCATCAATCCCGCCAAGAACAGACTTTACATACCTAAAATTCCTCAAATGAGCATAAGCCTTCAGCCCCTCAGAACCCTTCAACAGCTCCTCAATCCGAGCTCGGTCTTTCTCGTGGGCGACCGGGTCGACGTCCAGCCCAACATAGACCTCCAGCTCCCTATGCATCTCTTAGTCTCTATAACCTTACAAAACCAAGCACAACAACATGTCAACATCAAGACCAAGAAACCAAATAAAAGGGAGAGAGCGGAACGGAGAGAGGATGAAAGAACGGACGGCGGATGAGTGGCCGGCGGTGCTGAGAGTGTAGTCGACGAAGAGGCGGCGGCGTCAGAAGACGCAGAGGACCTCGAGAGAAAGAAATTTTTTTGGGGCCCCTAATTTTAGGGGGCCCTGTGCGGTCGATCACCTCGCACACCCCCAGAGCCGGCCCTGCATGTGCAGTGAAGAAAAATAAATCTGTTAGAATCATAGTCAATTGAGCAATGACGATCAGAGATAGACCTAAATGAATATGAATAGAGATTGAACATGTTAGTTGGTAATTCAATCAATGACATAGCCTTAGGAGAATATAATGGAGGAAAAGATTGATGTATCCGGACTCATATGTTTGAGATAAAAAGCTGTTTTGTTCTTGTTGTGCTTATCTACCTCGTTTAGTAGTACAAGCTAACGAAATCCTTGTTATTGCTAGTTCATCCTGTTGAACCTACTTTAGCATGTCTCAAATAAATATGCTGAGAACCCCAACTGGATAATTTATTGCATTGTTTATTTATCCTTTTAACAGCGTATCAGCTGCCTTTTAGATTAGTCTGAAACAATTTGCCATTACCACCAATAGTTTTTGATAGATAATCCTCTATAACCTACAAAAGCAATTGTGAAACAAATATATGGTAATGCACCGTAATCTATATCATTGATTTCAATAATAATCTTAAGAAGAGTCGTACTATCTTCAGCCCTTTTTCTCTTTTTCTATTCTTTGTTTCTCTTTTTCTTCTACTTGTCTCTATTATTTCCTATATAATTCTTTATGTATCTCCACGTCATTATCTATTTTTGGGGTTTTATCAATCCAAACCAACAAAGCGTAAAAGAAGTATGCACATGTGTGGATATTTTTCTTATGTTAGATATAGATACTCTGGACACACCTGTGAATACTAAGGAAATATGCCTTTAAGGCATAGACTTTATTATTTAAGATGAGTTTCTCAACTCTTTTTTCCTTTTTTGTTGCGTGCACGAATATAACACACTTGACATGATAGTACGTATCAGTTTTTACCTGTGATGAAAAAATTCTGGTTATAGTAAGTGCCATTTTTCTACTATCTAACTAGCTTCTCCTTAATGTTTCGTTACCTTTCTTATACCCTCATAATATCAATGCCTGTCATACTTCTTAATGTAGTCCTTCACTTGTTTCTTTCCTGTTGGTATTTCCTGTTTTGTTATCATTCTATCTGGGAGCTTGAGTTGTACTCATCTTTCCATATGCTAATCATGCCCCTTTTTTTGTAAATATATTTGTTTCTGTTTGAGAAAATGTCCGTTACCAAAAGTACTTATGGTATATATAACACAATCATATTGAGAATGCGTATGAAGAATGTGCAGACTTCTTGCAAAACGGAACTATTGTATCATGCTAGGCATTCCTAGCATTGAACAAATGCTTCCTTGTGATTTGTGTTAAAGCTTCCTCTTAATCTGAGAATATATGATATATGATCTTCCCCTTGAATGGTTATGTATGTGAAACGAATAAAAGGAAAGAAATGCACGCACAAAAGAATACTTCGCTCATGTAGCAAAATGATATTTCAAATGGTTTGCTGGAGAGCTCTCTTGAATTTGATATAAGCAACTGAAAATCACTCAAATGAATAGAGTACCTGAAATTACGATGTATGCGCCAAATATTGTTCGAGGATTGAGGTTTTTCTCTTTCAAAATTGTTGTAAACATTTTATCTCCAAATAGTGTTTTTCTGCTTTGTATGTCCATGTTGATGTTTAATTTATATCGATAATCAAAGGTGATATTATTTGCATAACATAATTCGCTAGCATGTTCTCCTTGCTGGATTTGAGATGCATCATTTCTTTAATCTTGTGCAGCAATTTCAGGTATGGAAGTCACCTCTTTGACCGCTGTAAATTCTGAATCAAGAGCAAAAGCCACTCTACAGCTTGGTTCAGAAACTTTTTCAATTAAATCAAGCACCGGCATTCTCTCACAACAGTTGGCTGCGATGAAGGAGGAGAGCATGGGCATACTCAAAGAGTTCATCACCAAGCATAATGCCCCAAATGATGTGCCTGATGAATCCATTGAGAGCTCTACGGAAGACGAAGCCGAAGAACTTGACAATCCACCAAAGAAATCGAAGAAGCAAACATAACCAACGCATTATCTGGTGTTTCTCTGAGAGCTTCCATTATGTTTAAATTCAGAAATTCGACTGTAACTAAACACTTCATATTTTAGTCAACCTTGCATGTAGCTTTGCCTTGGACATCTCAAGCTTTGCTTCCGTTCAAAAAGATTTTATTGATTGAAGTTAATATATCTGTGGGATGCGGCTTTGCTGGTCAAAATGCTTTAACGTTCAATTGCGAGAAAGCAGAGTAGATATTTTTTTTTTTTTTTTTTTTTTTTTTGGAATATTTTTTTTTTTTTTTTTTTTGTATTTGGTGGTAATTTTCATGGCATCACGTTTTTCAAATAGGCAGTAACGTAGAACAAGAAGCTAGTTTAGAAGTACTTTAAAAAAAATTTAAACGTACTTGTCATCTTTTTCGTTGTGCAACTCGTGCAATCACATTTTGTAATTAAACGTTTATCACTATAATCCATTGATCTTTGCTGACAAAATTCCATGCTAAGAAGCATGCGCGTTAATGTAGCCCCACCTGAGCTATACAATTTGTTAGATTATCTTTCAACACTTGATGCCACCTTCTTGCAAACTACCATCTACAGAAAACCAAATTCAACGCTTCGACCTCTAAAAGCAAACAAAATTTATGTAGAGTTTATGCTCTGCTTCATAATTTCTTTGTACCAAAGCAAAAAACCACACCCAAGAATGCAACAGGAAGGAAAAAAAAAAAGAGTTCCGACAAGAAACAAAGCCACCACACCATCTTCAATCCTTCGTCGCAAACTGGGGAGAAATACAAGATTTTAGTATTCATTTGTGCGAAGTGCGTTACGTCTAGCAATCATCATAGCTTTAAAACCCCACCCGAAACCATCCACCTAAGAGGGGGCATAGACACAATTTACCCTTCATCCCTCTTCTAGTTTTGGCAGGCTGAAATTCACAACAGGGCAAGTAGGAACTTACTCATCAACTGTAATAAGGCGTAGAGAATTAATTACCCATCAACTTTCTAACATAGAGGGCATGGGAGCATTTACACCTTCGTGACTTCGTCCCTCTCCTCCAAAGTACAAAGGGTGCTTTATGGAGAACATTTTCAAACGGAAAATGTGCGAGCAACGAGGCCCAAATCTAGTTCAGCTGGCTTACTACCGAACAAGGTGACTTCCAGCCATACACCAAATCAAACACAGGTGTCACACAAACCATTTACGAGATCACAAGAACATCATATTTTTGCGTGATGTTAGAATGTCACCTGTGCAGCATACGTTGATAAAAACAGGTTATATAGAATATAGAGTTTCACAACCCAAACAAACAAATATGACAAAACCCAATTTGTGCAACCAAAGAAAGCCAACAAATCCAAGACGTGACACTTACAGAAGAAGTTGGCAGGGCACATGCATACCATAGACCAAACCATCCCTCAAGTTCAGAAACAGTCGGTTAAAAACATAATCAAATCTTTCTAGTCGTACCCTGGATTTGCCCTAATTACAACTCCCATATTCACCGTCCTGTCCGATCAATGGAAACATAAAACTAATAAAGCAAAAGTTTGCTGAGAAAAGAAATTAGGTCACTCAAACGCCCACTGGTTCTCCCTCCTGACTTCCTCCTCTTCCTCAGGCGTGAAGTCGTTCTTGATGTTGAAGGTCTGGCGAATCTCCTCCGGGGTCTTTCCCTTGATCATGTCTGCCACAGTTTGGCATGTCAAATCCAACAGTCCCTTAATGTTCAGATAGTTTGCAGCCTGGAAACCAACAATAAGAGGCCGGTTACAGCAGCCGTTACATAATATAATATGATCAGACCTGAAGTATAATAGAGAACATACCATCTCATAGGCCAAAACAAAATAGGGAAGAATATGGGAACTATACACATAATTCTCATTTTTGTATGAAATAGGACCGATGGAGGAGAGAAAAAAGTATAAACATGCTAGGACTTGTGAAACCGAAAGCTGGAAGGTGAGTTTATGGTCCTAATATTTGGTACAAAAGCTTGCAATATCTCACAAGTACAAAGTAGCTTAACTGCTAACAAGTACAAAAGGATGTAAATTCCTTCCCAAAGATTGGAAGAGCTGAACATCTCCTCTTTAAAATCAATCCTACCAAATAGCTTAGGATTTAATGCTAAGCAGAATTAAGGGCAAATTTGGATGCACGGAAGAAAAAAGAAGTATCTGAGTTTGTTTAAAAGTACGATTCCGTTGGACGGAGGATGACTGCAAAAAATATAGGAATACGAAATGCATGCCGCTATAAAAGACAGATGGCATACCAAGTAGAGGATAAAACAAGAGAGAAGCCACTGTGATGATATGGGCGAGTGACATAGACCATATACATGCTAATCAAGAGTGACAACATTGTTACTATTGGTATGACAAGGACTAGAGATAAGACATAAATGAGAAAAGATGGAAGAAATCAAAGGATGTGACAGCTGATTTACTGGAGAAAATGGTCTTTAACACTTGAATGAGGAAGTAACTCATGTAGCACTTTGCAGAACTTGACAATGGGGTTTTATTATTCCATTGATGAGCTAATGAGAAAAATCATATTTCTGTTTTAGGATAAAGAGTTTTTACATTGCAATCTCGATGGATCTCGAACTATCATTTAATGAACACCATAATCAAGAATAACAATATGTTCATAGAGGATTAGAGTTGTAGATCATACCCACCCCCAAACTCCCAACACGCACAAACAAAAAATCAAGCTTTTATTAAATCCTTTGGCACACCTTAGCTCCCATCAATATTACTATATCACGTACTCCCCTCAACAATTTAACATCTATTTGGGCATTTCACCTAAAAGTAATTTGAGCCCTTCAATAGTCTAAATATACATGAATAAGACTACAAAAAATCATGTTTTTACATGTTAGCTATGTTGCATTGGTACCGGTATGGGTACGGGACACAACAAATTTGTGAAAGGTAAGGTACGAGGACACTGCTATATAAATATTTATACACATTATATATTGAAATTAATAATTTATATGAGAACAAGGATGAGAATTAAAATTCCTATAACATTTTTATGTTTTTTTATTATGAAGATTATAAATTGGAAAATCATTAGTTTTTGAACTAGACATCCAAATGAACCTTCCAAATCATAATTCAAAACCTGATCTATGTCCAACGAGTTTCAAGAAGTGGATGTGAAGTGTAGGATATATGTCAAAAAAATGTATGACTAGTGTTTTAAATTATAACATGAATTGTATAATTGAGTACATGCCGAAATAAATAAATGCAAACATGCAAGAAGTGTGCACGGAGTTTGGTATGGGTATGGGTACGGTGCGGTTACGGCTTTAGATTAGAAGTACACAGGTAACATAACATGTTAGTAATAAGTAGGAAACTCGCAACTGCTGGAACGGGAAAGAAGTGAAAATTTCTTCCAACCAAATTAGAGTGCAGAATCTTCCTTGGAACTATGATTTTTTCTCAATTATAACATGCCAATGGGTACGTGAAGGATGCTCATCTGATGAAGTTAAAATAATTGTAATGTCTACCCTCAGAAACTATTCCCACATTCATGTTCTCTAATGGCATAATGGAAAACAAATACAACTTTTTAAAAGAACATTGCTTATATTAATAATAATAAGAAGAAGAATAGCCTGTTGCAAAAAATATCAGTTGGTATCAAATAAAAATAAACATAAACTTCCCTTTCCATACAATTTAGAAATAAATATGACTTGATTGCATCCATCGGATGCAGTTCCACTAATCATGTCATCTACGAAGTGTGATTCATCTAGCATCCTACATGACAATACATTCACATTCTCTCTTGATGGGGAAAGGGGTATGGGAAAGAATAGAAAAACATCAACGGGAAAGAAGTGACAATTTATTCCAACCAAATTAGATTGCAGAATCTTCCTTGGAACTAAGATTTTTTCTCAAGCATAACACGCCAAGGGGTTCGTGAAGGATGCTCATCTAATGAAGTTAAAATAATTGTAATGTCTACCCTCAGAAACTATTCCCACATACATGTTCTCAAATGGCATAATGGAAAACAAATACAACTTTTTAAAAGAACACTGCTTATATTAATAGTAGTCTGTTGCAAAAAATATCAGTTGGTATCAAATAAAAATAAACACAAACTTCCCTTTCCACACAATTTAGGAATAAATATGACTTGATTGTGTCCATCGGATGCAGTTCCACTAATCACGTCATCTAAGAAGTGTGATTCATTTAGTATCCTACATGACAGTACATTCACATTCTATCTTGATGGGGAAAAGGGGTATGGGAAAGAATAGAAAAAAAATCAAGGGCCTTTTTCTCTATTTGAGGCTAGTGACTGGACATAGCATAGTTATCAAAATGATTATTCGGTTGATCCCCAATTTGGTCATGAACATTTTAAACTATGCTCTAGCTTAAAGCCCATTGGTATTGTTTTTCTAAGAAAATTCACAGTCTAGGGTAGCATCTCACATCTTAGCTCAATTCTCAAGACTGTAGAGAAGGTAATAAGTTGGGGTCATCCTACAAAAAACCATTTCGAATGTTATATGGAACTAACATCCGCCCGTAAAGCTTCAGCTTAAAAATTGGGGCTGATAAAGGGTTGGGGCCATCCTACAAAAAACTGTGTAGATTCATCTACTTCTATTACCAATTGAGATACCTGTCCATATTCACTAAAGGCTCGGGGTCAAGCTATGACCCTATTGGTGATATTGTGCTCACGATAGAAGTTGAAATCACATCCATCTTTATCATCCTAATGACCTCTACTCGTTCTCAAAACTGTAGAGAAGGTAAAGGGTTGGGGATATCCTACAAGTAAAGCTTTTCGAATGTCATATGGAACTAACATCTGCCCCTAAAGATTCAACTCAAAAGAATTGGAGCTGATAAAGGGATGGGGTCATCCTAAAAATACCTTGCAGATTCATCTATCTATTACCAATCGAGATATCTGTCCATATTCACTAAGGCTTAGGGTCATAGCTTGACCTTATTGGTGATATCATGATCACAACGGGAGTTGAAATCATATCCATTTTTATCATTCTAATGACCACTACCACATCCTCTACTGCAATGGTTGCTCCTACCAAGGTCGGGTTCCCTCCCCATGTCAAGGTTGCTTTCCCAGTGACCAACTCTTAAGATTCTGGGTGTACACATTGACGTTGTCTAGCGTTCTCTTGATGTATAGCAAGAGTTTATCGCAGTCCTTATCATCTATCGTTCATAAGCATGCTACGTTGGAAAAAAAAAGCGTGATTACATTGAAAAAAAATCGGGTGATCTAACTTAAGCAAATTTGATGCAAGATGCAGGAACATCATAATAGGGGATATACACCTAATAAATGCAATAAGGATGTTGATGAAATCATGACAACGCATATTCCTTTGTCAAGTAGACAACACCCAAAATTCACAAACACTACATGAATGTTCTCCATAAGGTCCCTACAAATATATGCAAATCTCAATGAGATGATGAATAAACTCACAAGATATGTGTAGTATAATAACACTTGATGAAGAGCATGAACACAAGTACTTTAGGGTTCAAAATTCAAAAATCAAAAGAGCGATGACTGTCATACTTGTCAGCAAGAATTGTTTCCTTTTCCAAATACTTACAAGAGTGAGCACTATTTTTCTCTTTTTTTTAACTCTTTAGAAGCAAAAGATCCTCGGGTTAGATAACTCATACTTATAGGGAAACTTATAGTTAACTATTTAGTTGCTTAGATCTAATTATTGGAATTGAGTCATCCTGTCTTAATCCTGACCAAAATCACGCATCAATTGTTAAATAATCTTTATATTTTTGTGACTTCAGATTTGATGAACAAATTTTTATAATTCATGAAGAGGTTCTGGAATTTGAGTAGGCGTAACAACAAAATCACAAAAAAAAAAATTATAATCAAATCCCAAAGCAAAAAACAGAAGAAAAATAAAACAAAACCTTACCAAGATGAGATCAAAGAGCGTAGCCTGATCAACCTTCACAAATTCCTCATCCCAAGCCTTGATCTCATCAGCAGCGGTCTTCTCGTCAGAACTTGACCCCTTCTCAACGTGCTTCTTGCAGTACTCAATCACCTTGGCGAGGATCTTGCTGTTGACGTTGGGCAAAGGGATCCCGCTCTCAGCGCAGTCGTCCTCGATCATGTGCTTGATCGTCTGCGACTCCATTGCCACCTCCTGATCAACCTCGAAGATCTCTCCGTCGGAGCTCTTCAGCGTGATCTTCTTCTCGCTCGCCATAACCGCTCGACTTAATCGAGAGGGGGTGGGGGAAGAAAGAGAGAGAGAGAGAGAGAAGAAACCCTAGGGAAAAGAAATTGGGAGAAAATTGAGAACACGATGAAGAAAAGGGCAAAAGTTGGGGCCCTATTTATAGGACAAATAATTGAGGTCGGTGGGGCCCACGGGTGTCCTTGTTGCTATTTCGAAGCGGAGAAGAAATTCCGCGTTCGAGGATCGGGGCTGATCAAATTTTAGGCCCATTAATAAGTCCCAACTTATGTCGGTGGCCACGAACAAGTTTTGTTTCGAAAGGGCAGCGTTCACTTGTTTTAGGTAGGGGTGTGCAACGGTCGGTTCGGTTCGGTTTTTATTAAAATTTGAACAACCGAACCGAATCCTCTATAATTCAAAACCGAACCGAACTGTTGCAAATCGGTTCGGTGCGGTTCGGTTCGGTTTGTTCGGTTCAAACTTCATCAAACTTCTTATCAAACAACAAACTGTGTTAAAGAAAAAAAAGATATCAACAAAGTAGGAGATTATGAAGCATTAAACACTGATATAATGATATTGTTTTCAACCCATAATGATTCAGAAAATGAGTTTAGGATTTGAGTCTTTGACTCTTTGGGGACAGGTCGGGTAGGGTTTAAGATCAGAATGGGTAGTATTGCACTATATTCGGTTGGTTCGGGTCGGTTCGGGTTAAAAAAATTTCAAACCTACTCGAACCACCCTACTCATAAAACCGATTTTTTCGAGTCGGTTCAGGTCGATTCGGTCGGTTTTTCGGTTTGGACCGAACCATGCTTAGCCCTAGTTTTAGAGGTTGGAAAGAACTCTACAGACTGTAGAGCTGTAGACGTAATATATGATATTAATAAAGATAGTTTCTTCCCAAAATTATCACCTACAAATCATGTGAGGTATTTATTTAGTTAGTACCAAGAACATCACAGAGGATAAATAAGTACAATTTTTTTAAAAAAAGAGGGGGGGGGGGGGGGGGGGGGATATAGTTAGGTACTCAGGGATTTATATCCAGATTCAAAATTTTGAAAATCGAAATAATTTGCTTTGTTGAACCTTGAACAATCTATAAACAAAAACAAAATTTCCAATGACTTCTATCAACACAAAAATTTCCTATGAATTCTATCATCAGGTGAAACGTTAATCGATTTTATGAAAATTTCTGACTATTTTTAGATAGCTGATTGGCACTTATTAGATCCAATAGCATGTATTCCCGAGCATCCACAAATAAGAATAAAAGCCAACTGGTATATTGATTTACTCTCTACATTTAGATATGAGAACCAAAATAAACAAAACCAAAGAATACCACGGATAAACTTTTGACCATTTGCGTACAGGCAAGGACATTGATCCATCTACACCTCTATATCTGATGCAAGATCAGTTTTTGAATAAAACGCACTCGTGTAAGCATTAATACAAGCAACAACAAGCATTTAAATTCTCTATGGCGAACACAGGGAAAAAATAAAAAAGGGCTTCATTCACAGAACTATATCATGGCGGGGTTCGAGAAACACTCTTCTACTGTAGATCAAGGTTCGTATGATACAGAAAATGAGAATTACGGAATTTACAGAGGAACAACTCTAAAATCTTAATGGCTAGTGCAAACTGCTACTACTTTTGGTATCGGTCTATCTGATCGATGAGATTTTGACCGACTTCGAACTCAGAGCAAATTGCAAGCAGCTCGCAATTGGCAGTTAATGTTCCATATACTGAGAAGGGGGAGGGCTCGTTTTAGTCTTCTCTGGACCTGAAAGTGAAGCATGATGATGAGGCGATATAGATAAATAAAAAGACAGGATTATTGAGAGAAAATAATAATAATGCTTTTCAGTAAGCAGCAAGTCAAAAATTTGATGGAATGATCCTAGGAGAAAGGAGAAGCTTCCATTTTGAAACCATTTTGAGAAATTGACTAGCACTGGAGCAAGCATGAGACATGCAGCTGTAGTGAGTGAAATAATTTCGAGTTGGGGAAGCTTCTGAAACCATTTTGAGAAATTGACTAGCACTGGAGCAAGCATGAGACATGCAGCTGTAGCTGTAGTGAGTGAAAAAATTTCGAGTTGGGCACACACTGAGATCGATTACTCAACTGAATGAGTAATGGAGACAGTGTCTTGAAGTTAACACTTCATGGACGAACTAAGTCACATTGGAGGCAAGTGTTATGACATGTGAACCTACCCTGACTCGTGCTGGAATAAGCTCCACCACTATCATTATGCAACGTCACATGTGCTCCAACTTGCGCCTTAACCAGTTATACAAGGTCTTGAAGCAAAAAGTGCATCCAAAGGCTCATCAAACCATAGGATATGATAACCAATTTGTCAGGTTGCAAAGGTCCAAGAAGGATATAGACTACGTCATTCTGATTTGGACCCAAATCAGCTCAAAAGCATTAACCCCTATGTTACCTGGATGCTCCAAATCGGAAGCCGTACCAAAACTTCTTGGATACTTCTTGAATATATGCAGATGTATACTCAATTATATAATACATGTTTTAATTTAAACAATCCTCATACACTTCTTGGACGTATATTCTATGCAACATCTGTTTCTTATATATTGAGTTTACGTAATGAAAAAATAATATTGATCTTATTGTTATGAAAGTTATTAATTTTAATATAAATATACATGCATACATATATATAGCTGTATCCCCATATCCTTTTACAAATTTGTCATGTCACGTACACACACCAGCACCCGTATTCATGCAACTTAGGTTAACCCTTCAATTGAATCCTGAGTCCAAGCATGTTTTTAACCCACACTCAAACATAATGGATCTGAATATTTTCTATTACTCTTCCTCGCTCGCCTCTTCAACTGTTTTAACCCAGTGGTCCCTTTGTTCCTCATCTAAGTTGCATGAGTACGAGCGTGGGGACAGGACACATCAAATTGTAAAATGAAGTGTGTTTTAGATTAAACACGCATTGTATAATTGAGTACAAGTCTAAATAAATATATGCATATATTTAAGAAGTGTCTAAGAAGTGTCAAGCACATATACAAAAACGACACGTGTTAGGTATGCGTACGACACCATATTAGAAGTACCCAGATAACATATTACCTCATGAATGAATCTATGCCACTTTAGGTGTCTCTTTCTCCCATTAGACCACCTTCCATTGCATCCTCTTCTCTCCCCTCTCTACTTCCTTTTAAGCTTGAACAATGAAAGTTTGTGGAGTGGAGAGAGGAAAATGGGGTCCATGCATTCTCGAGGTTGGTCATATGAAAAGCAAGGGTAAAATCTCAGTAGCTGTGAGATGTTTGAGATTTGGGGGCTGCCATTTAATAAGGGTATTGGAGCAGCGTATTTGATGATAGACAGAAGAAAAAGACAAGGGTAAATCTTGGTAGCTACGAGAAGTTTGAGATTTGGGGCTATAATTTAATAAGGGTATTGCAGTTTCTTTTTGGAAAAATAACCATCACCAACTCACCTGAACTTGATATTTGCTACTTCTGTATTGTCGTAAGTTATAATTAATGGCAACTTGTTGACTGGGAGGATGAGCTTTAGGATTCTGGTTGCATCTCTATGGGACATTTCCTTTTCTACATACTTAAAATCATCTTCCATTAGTAATCACCTCTAACTATGTTAGCTAGGTTAGTGACCTGATCATCCATCCATTCTACCTCACTATTGTGTCATCTTTGATTTCTATTTGCTCTCCATCTCATCTAACCAAAATCTTTACATCTTCTCTCCGTCTCATTTCCCTAGTGGTCTACCAAGAGCAAAGTTTTAAATATCGGTTATATGAAACATATCGGATGACCAAACTTCATATCAGATTGTGGTTATCAGGGATATATCGGGGACAAGTAGTCAAAATTAAAATGTCATATCGGATGGTGAGCACATATAATATAATATCCTAAAATATAATCTAAGCACACCTAATGGAGTGTAAACATACCATAACGCAACGCCTTCGACAGAGTACTCAGGGTTATCGAGCGATTAAATTTGGGGAGAGAGCAAATAAGGCGAAGATAAATTAGGGTTGGTTGCTCGAAATGCGATGGAAAACATTAAGTAGGATCGGTGGTTTTGATGTTATTTAGCGGGTATCAAGTTTGGGTCTGGAAAATAAAGGTTTTGGGATACAAAACCCAACCGATAGTTTGTAAATTTTTTTAACAAAATCAGCCAATTTGTACCCTTATAAAAAACGGTCAGTTATGTTGGCCTTCTTGTTTTGATGATGTTTAACAAACAATTTACCACTAATGTTGTTTGTCTAGTGTTTGTATATTCTTATGTATTGTAGACAAACAACGTTGTTGGAGGATGGATGGAATAGAGCTTCAACGATCATATCCAAAGGAGGTTGGCGGAATGTCGGTGAAGCCTTGCTATTCAAAGTTCAAGATCCAAGTTCAAGCTTCATCCGCGAGATTACCAAGTCAAGCTTATTGAAGATCAAGATCATTGCTTGGGTAATTTAGTTTAGGAATTTATATTATGTGTGTTAGTACTTTAAGCTCAATCATATACACACATACACGTTTTGGTTTTTGTATATATATAGTTATATATATACATATATGTTTTGGTTTGATAGTTTTCAAGTTTTACTATGAAACAATTGAATATAATTAGAAAACATATTTTTGTTTCATACTCATATGCATATATATGATTTCATCAATATCAATTTTAGTTAGTTAAATAAAATCATGTTTTAGTGCATTATATGTGTATTTTGATAAAATACTACATTCATTGTTTATAGACTTCATAACAATAGTTTACATCTTTCTTCAAGTCTATAAAATCATTTTGTAAAGTTTCAAAAGTTGGTTTAGCCAAAATATCAAAATTCACATGTTTACATTTTCGTGTTTTGGACTATTTTGCAAAATGATGATATTTTTCATTTGGGAAGTCCTTTTTCAAAACCAGTCGTTGTAGCATGTTTATTATCATGTCTACAATCATTCCCCAAAGTTTTACATTTTTTGGAATTTATTTGATATTTTTAAACAGCATTTCAAAATCAGATAAACAGTTTTCATATCAGTTTTCGGTCGACCGCACCGGTCGACCGAACCTGAGGTCAAAAGTTCACTGGGCTGACAGATAGCTGTCGGTCGACCGGTCCGGTCGACCGATGAAAATTTTCGGTCGACCGACGAATTTTCCGGTCGACCGACGAGTATTCTCTCAGCTTCCAACGGCTAGTTTTTTGACCGTTGCTGGGGGCTGTTTTGTCTTTCTGCTTGGGGTTTTTGGCTGAGTTATGAGAGGGTATAAATATCCTATTGCCTTCAATTCTCAAGCCAACCAAGAGAGTTTTTAATCAAGTTTAATAAAGTTTTTAACAAGGGTTTTAGTTTGGTTTAAGTGTGTTTAAAAAGCTTTTAAGCAAATTGAGAGTTTGTTTTGGTGAATCAAATTCCACAAGAGCTTGAGGAGATTATCTATTGAAGTTTGAGCTTCCAACTATCATCCCTCCATCTCTTGTTATCAAATTGAGAAGTTTTCTAAACTCAAACTCTAGCTTTACATTTATATACTTGATTGATTATCATTGTTCTTAAGCTAGATTTCATACTTGAGTTTAGTTGATTTGATCTTATTTACTCATTGTTACACACACACCCACATTGAGCTTATTGTATCTTTCATACATAGTATAGTTGGGTGGTGAGAGATTGTAACTTTGAGTTGTGCTTTCATTGTGTTCTCATCTATTGTAGAGAACAAATTTATATTTGTTACATTGTGAGTGTTGTAAGGTTTTCGGTGAGCTAGAAACCGAGTGTGTAGTGAGGTTTTCGGTGAGCTAGAAACCGAGTGTGAGGAGTGACGTTGATCGGTGAGCGTTGAAAACCGATACTGTGAGGTGTAAACGTTATTCGGGTGAACGTAGAAAACCCGGTTGATAGTGGATTTCTCCCCGGGAGTGGGGAGCGGAGACGTAGGACGGAAGGTCCGAACTCCGTGATCATATTGCTTGTTTGAGTGTGCTTTGGCGTTCATTCATATTTATGTTCATATCTTATATCGCCATTGTCATTAGCTCATTATCTATTTCATCCACTATCTTGTTTAGATTATTTACCCTTGTGTTGTTTATATATCCTTGCATATATCTCTATCATATAGGATATATCTCATTGTTCATATTGCTTATCCTAGCTTATATTCTTGTTGTATTTCATACTTGCTAGGATAACTTATTAATTAGTTTTAATTGGCATTTAAATCGGATTAGATTAGCATAAGACCCTAATCACCCCCCCTCTAGGGTCTAACAATTGGTATCAGAGCTTGGTGCTCTTTGATTTAAGGTCTAATCGCCTTGAGTTAAAGATCCAAGTTATATTTTTGTGCTAATCTTGTTTTGATTGCATTTGTATCTTGCTTGCATATTTTTACAAATTATGGATATGAATGATGCATCTTGTTTAGGCTATGATTCTAGTGTTGCTCCTAGATTAGACAATTTCCCCTATGCCCAATGGTGTGTTAGATTTAAACTATTTGTTAGATCTAAACATTTTGATTTATGGGAAATTATAGATGATGCTTATATTGTGCCCATTTTGGAGAAATCCAAGTGGAATAAAAATGATCATCGCATGTTTACTATGAACAACATTTTGTTAGAATATTTGTTAAATGCTTTTAACTCATCTATGTCTAACAAGTTTGTTCATTTTGATAGTGCTTACACCTTATGGATATTTATAGAAGCACATCAAGGAGAC